TATATATATATATATATATATATATATATTGATTGATTGAATTTATTTTATTTAGATAGAGTCGACCGCTGTGGATATTTATCAATGCTGCGGCGCAGTCCATTAATCGCCGACAGCTTTAAAGAACATTATCACCGCGTGCATCTCCCACGTCGGCTCGCACTGCAGCGGCACATCCGCCAACAAACAATTCGCCAACAGAAAGAAAAACAAACACAAACACAACAACAACAGGAAGTACCATATAAGTATAACAGATGGTGGGTGAATGCCGATCATGAGTTTGTTCATCAACATGCCTTTGTAGAGGACCCAGAGGTGACGAAAGCCAAACGTGAAGTTCTTCCACCGGTAACGAAGGAAAATATATGGAAAGAACCACAGCAAACATTTTTTATGCCTTTCGCACCTTATATTCGTGTAGTGGATTACCCAAAAGATCCTGATGCGAAATTTCTTAAACCAGTAAATATCCCTCGTTGGAAAGATTATATGCAGCGTACGAAGCCTGTTATTCCTCGAACGTGGTATTAGTTGGAGATGTGTGCAATTATCTTGCTTTATGGTGTGTGTCTGTTTTTGATAGTTGTGGATAATGGATGAAGTGATATATATATATATATATATATATTTGTATTTGTCTTTGTGTTTGTAGTGTTAGGTGAAGATGAACTGGCGACTTTCTTGTTTGGTGTGAAGAGTGAGAGGGAAGTACTCTATTTATTTATTAAGGAGAGTGCGTTCTTGTGGTTAGGGATGATTTTCTCTCGTAACGACTAAAGTCATCATTATTCCCTCTCTCTCTCTCTTGTTATTAATTTTCCTCCACTATTTGTACCATCACACAATCCATATCTCTCTTTCTCTTATATTTAAATATAAACATGATTATTCCATCTATAATCTCCTTCTTTTCTTTTTCTTCTTCTATCTTTTTTTTTTTTTTTCATTTGTTTCCCCCACCATTTGGGCGTGTAGTGGTAACTGGATATATATAGAGAGACAGTGGGGACTACCCTATATATATATATAT